TCTTGATGAGATATAATCCATACTGAATGGTGTAGTCTTTTTTCTTCTATAGTAAGTATTGAAGTCCTCTTCACTTTCAGCAAGCAAGATTATGTCATCTGCTTAATGCAGGCTGTTGATAAAACTTCCTCTGACCTTGCTGCCACAGCCCTCTTCATGTAGTCCACTTCTTGAAGTGTGGAATAACTGGATTAAATGAAAAGCACATTTATTTAGTTTTCTTAAAACTGATGATCATCTTTATAGAAACCAAGTTACAGCACTTGTATTAACCCTAATTATGTTTTTTATGTGGAATCAATCAAAATATATTCTTTAAAGCTCAGTGTAATTTCATTGCTTATTTACAATTTAATGGTGCTTTTTTTTTTCTAAAGTCTGAAATCTAACAACCTCAAAATCCTAGAGATTAGTGGAAAGATCTAGGTATATACTACCAAGTTATGCATTCTTTACTCTGAGCTCTGGCCAGGGACTTGACCTCCTGGCTGGTCTCCAGGTTCTGGATATCCTGAGAAATTACACAGGACTTTTCTACAGACTACTCCGTTCCAGGGCACCCAGAGGCCAGACCAACTTAACCTTGTCTTGGCTCTTTCCTCTCTTCTCTGTTGTCTTCCTTTTGAGCTCACCTAAATACTCAGTTGATCTTCAGATATTTTGCAGATAGAGGCAGGGGCCACATGGAATTGGTTATCAAGTAGATGTTCATGGGATGGGCTATGAAGAGGGGCTGAGAATATGTGTCTAAGAGGCTCTCCCAGAGATTGTTGCTGCTGGCCCCTGGACTCACTTGGAATAGAAAAAGTAGATATAAATTGGGAATACAAATTACTAATAATTTTATTTTTAATTTGGTTTGTATTACATATTCCAAATTCAGAGATTTTTTTAAAAAATACCTTTCATCATCTTGCTTTCCAGAGCTTTTTTTAAAGCTGTTTTGCTTTGTAATGTGTTTACAGCATTTCCTGTTGAGAGGAAGACGTGGAAAGGTAGAGACCATTAGGAAGTTACATATTTTGCCCAAGATAACATTGGAAATCAGTTAGTCTACAGCCTAGGCTCTCAGGAGGTCCCTTATAGCCCACAGGACCACACATGACCTAATGGGGAATGCTGTGCCCAGAGCATTCCCCCCTGCCAGCCCACCCGCCTCTCTGAGCTTGCCGCAGGGCAAGGATGAACTGAAGCTCAGCTGCTTATGTGCACACCAGGAGACAGGAGATTGAGTGATAAAAGTGAACCCAATATAAAAATTAAAAAGCATACCAAGAACACTGTGAAATGAATGCTTATAAAACTGTCTGCGGTGGGAAGAAATCAAAGAGTTTTATTAGGTGATGAAAAAACACTGTAAACCTCTTGTAAAAACATTCCAAGGCTTAGCCTTGTGTAGTATGAAAGAAGAATTTCACTGAGACTCATTTTAAACAAGTGAACATAAAGGAGCTACAATTCTATTTATACCTGCATTTGAAATTAAAGGACACACACACATGCCCCACTGCAATGTCTCAGAAAGTTCATCACAGAAGTTTTGAAGTGCTCATTTACTTTTCTGGTTACAGAACCCTAATGATGGTAAGTGTGTATCATGGTTTATGCATTTCATACTTTTGTGTGAAGTGCTGCACATATCTACCCTGAGGGCTTCTTTGGCTGGAACAAATGGTTAACACACTTAGCTGCCAAACCAGAGATACCAGGGAAGAAAAAACTCTGTGGAGTACAGTTCCATTCTGACCTACTAGGTCTTTGTGAATCGGGTTGACCTGATAGCAGGACTTGTTTCTCAGCCAGAGACCTCTCCTTTCTGCTCACCCCCACCTCTGTGGAAATTAAATCACTTTTCATTATTAAAACTTGGCCAAGTAGCCAAGTTGGTCAGGAAGTTTTGGGGCAGAGGATTATGAAACATGATTCTAAACACTGGCTTTTTCTTTTACCCTCTAGATGTGTTTTAAGACACGTTTGACAAAAGGGGATAAATAATGAATACTTCATTAGAATATATAAAGGAAAAAACTGTTCAAAAGGAATATATGATTAGGCATTTAGAAATTGTATGTACAATAATAGCCCAGAATAAGAGGTGCATTGCAAAGAGGACTGGGGGGGGGGTGGAATGGAAGTAATTGTGCAACAATGGATGAATAAAAAAAGAAAACGGGGAGCGGGAAGGGGAAAGTGGGTAAAATGTGCAGCATGAATGAATGCAAATCCAACTTTTTTGTAAATTTTTGTAAAAATTACAATTAAAATAAAAAACGGTATTAAAAAGAACTATTTAAGGAGTAAGTTTTTGGTCTCCAAGGTGGTAGACTTTAAATTAATTTTCCCACACTTGCCCTTTGGTGGGTGATGAGGAAGAGGAAATAGTTTGGGAGATGATTCCTTATAGATAGCTTTAGTTGCACTTCCTGAGACAGGGAAGAACCAGGGACTAAAATAAACATTTATCATTTCTGGTGTTATTCTTGTCATTCCAAGCTTGTGGGTAGGGGAGCATACATGTCATGGCACCTATGAAACAATCTAGAGTAACAGGAGTTGATGGTACAAATGGTCTAATTCAAAGTTTCTCTAGCTGTCAGTATTATGTGACATCAGTTACTGTTGTTAGGTATCCTCAAATCTAGTAAGACTCATAGCAACCTTATGAAGAATAGCTCTGAACCCTGTCCTACCCTATGTCATCCTCATCATCTCTGACACACAACAGTCACTGTGTCAGTCTATCTCAATGAGGATCTTCCTCTCCTTTGCTAACCCTCTGCCTCTCCAAGTATGATGTCCCTCTCCCAGAATAACCCCTCTTACCAACATGCCCAAAATATATGAGATGAAGATACACAATCCTTGCCTCCAAGGAGCATTCTGGTTGCTGTTTTTCCTATGGCAAATACTAAATGCCTTCTCCATTCTTTAATTGATAAAACATATGTGGTATAATGGAAAATGTTTTTTTAAAACTCTCACTTGGAATCTGGTTTCTGATATTCCTCAGAATTGTCAGCTTCTCTCATAGGTGCAGTCAGACTGTTGGAGTCCAAGAACGAATTCACAGTGTGTGCCCGTTTCACTGCTGGATACTCCAGTGGCCTGAGAGAGACATTGTTCCATCAGCACCCCAAAGATTCCTATAACCAAATATTTTGATTAAATGACCTTGACAATGCACACCAGTTTTCATTACTAGGTCACATATGCTTTTACAACTGTGTCCATACAAATACAAAAGAAACCTCCATGCACAATTCCTACCCACCAGGAGTTTTCACTTCAAAAAAGAAGCAGTGAAAGACAAAATTAAAGATATCTTATAATCGAAATTTTATTAAAAGTGTATTTAAATTTTCTTATGCATCTAATTTGGGTCTGGTAGTCTAATGGATAAAGAGTTGTGCTGCCAATCTAAAGGCAGTTGGTTCCAATGCACTAGCTAATCTGCAAGAGAAAGATGAGCAATCTCCTCCAATGGGTTGTATAGTCTCTGAAAATTCACTAGTGAGTCAGCTATGAGTCAGTTCTGAATCAACAGCAATGAATGAATACTTTCAAAATTGTACTTAAATGAGTTTTTTCATTCCTTTTGCCCCTGTCCATGTTAATTCTAGTCTTTTGGCTAATAAATATCTATTTCTTCATTCTGCTTATTTGTTTTCTGACCTATTTGTTTGCTTGTTAGTTTTCTGTCCTTCTCTCCTAATCTTTCTTATCTCTTGGGGTGTTTTTAAGGACCTCTTCAAAGTGCTAAAGAGCAAGTTTAAAGACTGAGGTGTACCTGATTCAAGCCATAGCATTTCCAGTTGTTTCTATGCATCTGAAATTTAAACAATGAATAAGGATGACTGAAGAAGTCTTTGAATTGTAGTAATTGTGAGGAGTATTAAATATAGCATGGAATACTAAAATTACAAATAAATCTGTCTTGTAAGAAGTACCACCAGGGTGCTCCTCAGAGGCAAAGAGGGTGAAACTTTGCCTCATATACTTTGGGTATGTTGTCAAAAGGGACCAGTCCTGGTAAAAAGACGTAATACTGAAAAAGGTAGAGCCTCAGCAGAAGAAAGGAAAACCCTTAACAGAATAGATTGCCACAGTGACTGTAATAATGTGCTCTTATATATCAGAGACGGTGAGGATGGCACAAGATACAGCAAGATTCAAATCTATTTGATGTTCATAGGGTTACTATGAGTTGTACTCCACTCGGGGCCACCTAACAACAATAAAATCTCCTTAAGACAAAAAACTCTGGGGAACTCTGGTAGCCTAGCAAGAAACTGCACTGTAATCCCAAAGGCAGGCAGTTCAAATATACCTGCTCTGTGGGAGAAAAAAGAACAATCTCCTCCAGTGCGATTTACTGCTTTTGAAAACCCACTGGAAGGTCAGCTATGGGTCACTTCCAACCCAACAGAACACAAAAACAAGGCAAAAAAAGTTGGACTTTATTCTTCTGTTTAGAAGTGGGGTAAGGAAGGAAGACTGATTCTTTATGCATCTAAAATTTCATTTATAATAAATATATAACTTCAGGATTTGTGATGGTTTGGGGGCATTGGATTAATATTTATATTTTACCTAATATTTTTAAAGGATTTGCTAAACTAGTTCAGATCTACCAGTGTTTTGAGTAGAATGTTTATCTATTCAGGAAAGGGCCCATCTGTTTGCAAGCAGTGGATCTGCTCTTATGTAAAAATAAGCTTATGTGAGTCTCCTTTTTCTCGAAGGGGAAGGCACTGGTTCTCAAAGGAAGGAAGTTTTATCCTCAGGGGAAAATTGGCAATCTCTGGAGACATTGTAGTTGTCACATCGGGCAGCTAGTGAGTAAAGGCCAAGGGTGTTGCTCAGTATCCTTTAATGCACAGGAAAGCCCTGGCAAGAGAGAATTACCAAGCTCTCATCGTCAATTGAGCTGAAATGGAAAAAAAAAACCCACCAACTTCTGATGCAGTATGTGACCTTGGTTCCTCATTGTGTACTCACAGGGTAAAGAGAAGATGTGGTCCCATTCAGGCCTGAACGAAACATCTGTCACAAGCAAAAGGACCTCAGCCCTCACAGGTAATATCTCTTGAAGACAAGATAATTATGGATTTGGAGAACTTTTTCATTAATGCTCTTTTTTGCCCTACTTGTGTTATTGTTCAGGGGAATTTGCATGTTCACAAAGCTCAGATGTGAGAGAGATGTGCATTTTGAATGCCTCAATTTCATTGACTCTGGGTTCCATTGATTACAAAGGAACCCTGGTGACATAGCGCATATCGTAGTTGGGTGCTAACCGAAAAGTTGGCTGTTGGAATCCACTCACCACTATGAGAGGGAAAGATGGGTAGTCCCCGTTCATGAAGATTTACAATGTCAGATACTTGATAGAGGGTCTCTATGTGTCAGAACTAACTTGGTGGCTGGGGATTGGATTTGCTTTTTGTTACAAATAAGAAAATCTTTAGAAACTCAATTGTCAGTGAACTTAGTATAGGTCTTAATATTAAGTTTTACTTACAACAAGAAAATCTTTAGGAATTCAGTTGTCAGTGAACTCAAGAGAATGCTGAATAGAGATATCATTTAGCCAATATTATCTACATGAAAATCTTTTGTGTTCTGTGCTTTCTAGAGAGATCTTCACAGAACCAGCCCTCTACAGCAAAAGAAAAGATTGATGAGCTCAACAAGAAAAATGTAGAGAAGACCAAGACCTCTCTAATTCAAAGAAATCTTGGGATATTTTCTTCAGAAAGATGGCAAGATGAGGGAGAAGACTTTGCTCCAAGAAATTCCATAGAACATGGAAAGAATATAGATGGAAGAGAAATTTTATGCACAGAGAGAAGACAAGAAGAGGAGGGTGTTAGAGAAGAGAAGCAAGTTGCTGTGGATAGACATGAAAGACTGATGTGCAAAGGAGAGAAAAATGGGCTTCATTTTAAGGAAGATGACGGCGGGGAAACAGTCAAGGGAAACAAAGATCAAGCAAAAGAGTTTCCATGGGACAAGTGTTCAAACAGTAAGCTCTATGTTCATGAAACTAGGGGTTATGAATTCTGTGAAAGGTAGAATTTATAGATTGTGTGCTCCAACAGTTTAGGGCTTAATATGCCACTGTATCAGATGATGACAGAAGCAAATTTTTCAACAGTAATTGACAATTCAACAGATAGTTTTGGGCATATTTGCTTATTTTTTTAAGAAATTTTTAGGCAGCTTATTGTTTTGTAATTTTTAGTACCAAATAGTGGACAAAACCAATGATTATTAGTCATATGACTGAGTGTTTTTAAATGATCAGATGAAAAGATTTTATTTTTAGCAACAGGGAAACACCATTTCTAAAATCAAGAATTAAAGAAGAGATTTACCTGTTAAAGCTTACTGTTTAAAAAGTGTGTACCCTCATTGTGCATGATAAATGTACCATCTCCCACAAATATTGTGAGAATTGAATAAAGAGTAGGTTATTAGAGGACTTTTGTCCTGATTTGGAATATTTTACTTATAAATTTAAGTAATTTTTAGTCAATTAAAATGTATTATGCTAGGTTATGATGAGCTACAGTGTCCATGTAGAACCAGTAATATCAAAATACCTCTGATCTATTTCAAATATTTTAAACAGAATTCACATTAAACTTGAAAAATACTATATTGAAGTCTAATGATGAAGAAGGGAGCCATAGTGGTTTAATGGTAAGAAATTGTGATATCAACCCAAAGGTACATGGTTCGAACCCACAAGCTGTTGTGTAAGAGAAGGGTAGGCACTCTCTTTTTGTGTAATTTACTGCCTCTGAGAATCTGACAGAGGGTCAGTTATGTGTAGGTTCTAATTCTATGGTACATAATAACAATGATGGAAAAGTCTAATTCTCCAAGAGTTATAAATAATACTAATTTCTAAGAAAGTCTACTACTGTAAGGATGTATTTATTAAGGTCAGGAGCTATTGAGAAACTAAATTTAGTGAGTTTTTTTCACTAATAAAGATGTACTCCCACTGCTGTTAATATCCTGGGTGATAACTACTTTGTCTATTTTGCTTTAATAGTATCATTTCTCTGTTCCATAAAAGTGAAAGTGAAGGAAACAGATTGATTAGGAATTACCACATGATTACTTTGTAAAGGTTGCCAATGAAGTCTTTAGGACACTCATTCTGGATGCTGGTCGACCCTACCCATCACATCTCCATAGAGTCTAGAGTCCATGATGAAGTTGCAGTGGTTCCATGTGCTCCTGAAAGGTTGACATATTCAGCTCTATCACAAACCTCTCCTCTGCTCAAAAAATACTATTCTAAACAAGTGTTAGTTCTAAGACTTTGAGCTTCTACAATTTTTCCTCTTGACAGTTTGAGAACTAAAATTGGATTCTATTTTTGAGGTGCTTCTTTGTTACTCTATGTTTGCTGCTACCAACATACTCTGTTCTCAACTCTCAGAAAATTCCACAATGGATATTTGACAGAATTCAAAACATACTACTATTCTGTTCTCATTAAGCGTTGATCGATAGAGGAGTGCTTCATCAATCAGGACAATAGACGAGCAGAATAGAGATAATGGATGCAAAGGGAAAGTGTGTGTTTAAAGAGATATAGGAAGTTGGAGAAGCCAAGGAATGATGCAAGGACAAGTCCCAGAAGTCCACTATAGGGATTCAGACCCACAGAGAGCAAGACCTGGAACAGTGGCATTACTAGTGTTGGCATCATCCAGTGTGGTAGCTCATTGTGCAATCCCCTCTCCTCACCTATAGGCCTCCTACAATATTAGATCAGACAGAAGCCTTAGTAGTATTTGTTATTAATTTTAAAGGGAGTTGTATTTTGCTTAAATGTAATATTTCTTAGATTATACAAATACTAACAACAAATAGCTTTGTAAAATCTTTCGATTTTGAACTACATTATAATAACTAAGCGGAAGCATTTTTAATAAAAATTATCTTTTTCCTTTAATTATTAAATTTTTTAAAAAAGTGATTTACATAGATGTACAAGTACTGTTTATCACAATACTGTACCTGAAATTCCGGAAAAATGTGGCAAAGATAAATGGCTCTGAAAATACCAATAGTAATGAAAAGAATAGAGCAGGAGGATAGAACCACATGATTTGAAGCACCATTGCCATTGTCTAATAATGACAGCTTTGACCAGAGTACATTGTTAAAAATGTAGGTTACCGGAGAGTCTTAGCCTTGTAGATGTTTATGTGAGCTAACTAAACTACAGGGATATTTTTGTAAAATAATTAATGTACGGCTGTTGCATCTCTATACAAACATTTTCTAACCAGTCATTTTTATGTCACCCTCACTGACAGTGTCACCTGATTCTGTCTACATCCTCAGGACTGCTTAGGGACTCAACTGGTCTGGTGGCCCTATTGAATAGAATGTGGCTTGTTTCAGCCTTTTGCAGCTTCTTAAACCTATCTTGCTTCTATGCCTAGTGGGTAGGGAGTTGTACTGCCAGCCCTAAGGCAAATGGTTTGAATCCACCAGGTGTGCTATGTGAGAAAAGATAGGCAATCTATTATCATGCAATGTACAGCCTCAGAAAACTCCTGGTGGGTCAGCTATGTGTTGGTTTTGACATGATGGCAAGGTGGCTTTTTTTGGAAACCTTTCCAGCCAGCATTTAACTCTGATGGCTTAATGATAAGGAGTTGTGCTGGCAACTCAAAAGCATGCGGTTCAAATCCACCAGCTGCTCCATGTGAGAAAAATGGGCAATCTCCTCCTATGAGATTTATAGCTTCTGAAAACCTCCTATTGGGTTAGTTCTGAGTCTGTTCCAACTAGATGGTGGTGGTGGTGGTGTTGTTATGTGCCGTCCCTATGTACAACAACAGCCCTAAACTCTGCTCTGCCCTGTGCCAGTTGCACTGTCTCCCATATACCCATCTCAATTACCCCAGTACATAACAAAAACAATAAACAAAGTTCACAAGATTGCTGATGAGTCATAGTTGACTCAGTGACTCCTAACAACAATAGTCTAATTAGTATGTTGTCAGGAGAAGGCAGTCCTTGGAAAAAGACTTCAAGCTGGGAAAGGTGAGGGTTAACAAGAGAGGAAAACCTTCAACAAGATGGGTTGACCCAGTGATTTTAACAAGGGGCTGGAGCATGTTGGAGATCAGGATGATGGCACAGATAAGCCATGGGGCTGACTCAGTGGCACCTAAAAAGAAATAATAACTTGAAGGAGAGATAATGTCATATTGGTGTCATATGCACTCTTAACCCAATCATTCTTTTTTTAAGGGGGGGGGGAGAGTTGATAAGATGGATGGATTCTGCCAAGAGAACTCTCTGAAAAATTAAAGACTATGTTCTTTAATTTTTATATAACTTATGGTGTGAGAATTAAATATATAAAATAGTTTTATGTTATCTTTTTAAATTTTTTTTTTAAGAGAAACAACCCAAAAAACATTAACACCTGCCAGAATGCCTCTCACAAAAGTGTTTGGGAAATATGTATTGAATCAATGTGAATTTCTAAGGGCAGAATTGTGTCTCCTCCACCTTCCTTGGTATCCTCAAGATACCACACTTAGACGTTTAATAAGTGAGCAGATGTGAAATTGAGCAGATTCATGGCAAGCATTTGCTCACAGCCACAGTCATGGAAAAGTAGAAAAAAAGGCTAGGAGAAATGCTCTCCAGTAACTGTACATTTGAGAAGTGATGCTGATGTAGACAAGAACTTACACTTAAGATGGAAGCTGGAAAGTAGGAGGAATTTAATAGCCACCCTCACCCAGTTTTACTGAGTGTTTTATTTCCAGCCAGGAAAAATTCGTCTCTGTGACATAAATTTTTCTTAAGTAAAGCCTAAAATATTTCAGAAAGTAATATGTAATATGAAAAAAATTAAAGACATGAAGAAATTTTACATTTTTCTATTTTCTTTCTATTTTAATAAAAATAGTGGATTCTGGCAATATTTTTAATAGCCTGAACAATTGTTCAAGTTTAATTAAAGTGATACCTCTCAAGTTTAGAAGCATGAACTGTTGGGACTATATTGGGATTGAAGATTTTCAACTGCTTTAATGTTTTGAAAAGCAGCCCTGAAGATGATGTGACCAGGAATTTAGTGGTCTGAAATTCCTTCTCAAAGAGGCTTGCCTTCATCAGACACAGATAAAACCATCCTCATTGAGTCTACTCAGACTCAGAACAACATAAATCTTGTTCCTTACAGTCTTTGCTGTGCTTAAACCCCTTCCTTCCATTACATTGTCAACCAATCCTGTCGAGGGCCTTCCTTTTCCACTCTACTATTCCAAGCATGATGTCTTTTTCCAAGGACTGAACTTTCTTGATAACACATTTGAAGCATGTGAAGTAAAATCTCACCATTCTTGCCTCTAAAATGTATGCTGGCTGCACTTCCTCCAAAACAGGTTTGTCCGTATATTTCTCTATCACTGGAGATAAAGGACATGGCCCATTTTACTTTATTGTTACACGTACTGCCATAAAGAGGTCTGATTGCTTAATGAATAGGCCCTCTCTCCCTCTCACCTTGCAGAGGATGGCCCAGCTCCTCCTGCCCCGTTTGATCACCGAATTGTGACAATCAAACAAGCAGCAGTCAACAGTTTTTACACTGTGAGCAGGACAGAAGTTTTGGGAGGGTAAGTAATGGGTAATTGTAATAAGAAGTGAACTTTTGAAGAGACAGATTCTGAGAATAGTGTAAATATTTGCCCATAATGGCCTGATAACTTGATGCATTAAAATAAACCATTTAAGAGAGTTGGGGAATTTTTTTAACACTCCCACAGATGCCAGAAGATTGATGTGGTGACAGTGACTGAATTCCAAATTTATTACCTGCTTTATTTCCCAAATTTAACAGCTAAAAATGAGAGAAACCCAGTTAGTCACAGAAGATTGAGAAGTTGTCTAGTGCTTGGTTTAAACACATGGAACAAAACATGGAAATGAGTGAATACTGTGTATTTCTTAAGTTATCTTTTTAAAATCATTGTTGCTTGCTTTTTGGTTTTGGAATTATAATACCTACTCCATTCCTTACTATTATCCATTTCAGCTGATTAATCTCATCCTTTGAGAACTGGGAGCACTGACATTCAACTCCATCAGTGACTGAATTTATCTCTGGGAATGTCTTTTCTTTTATACTTTGGACACAATAGCTTGTGATATTTCGTTACTTAAATCCCAAATGGTGGAATTTCTAGCATCTGTATTTCTACATAAAATATGAAAGGGAGAAGAAAAAAACCCCAAAAAATCTCGTATAAATAAGTTGTCATTTAATTACTGACACAAAGAAAATATGCTTAGTGAATATAATACCTGGTTCAGCAACTGATCATTAAGACATGGCTGATATTTGTAAAGCCCCTTTCTCCACTGCTTAGTCATGAAACCACCTAGTTGTACTGAGAGAGAAAGGGGAGTCCCAAACATGGAAAACTACCATGAACATTCTACAGGCAACTTGTTTGTGTCTCCAGAGATTTCAATGACAAACTTGGATCAATTTCCTTAGAGGAGGTTATTTGCTCACAGCATCTATCCACTGCTGTCAAATCAGTTCTGACTCAGAGTGATCCTTCACTGGGTTTCTGATGCTGTAGAATTTTTACAGAAGGAAAGTCAGATCTTTTTCTAATTTCACCTACTCGAATCAAACTGCCACCCTCTCAGAAGCCTGATACATTGCATAGCATGTCACCAGGGCTCCTTTGGATACAGGTACATGTCTTTGTAATACTGCTTAAGGTTTATATTTTTCCTCTGTCAAGATTTTTCAAAGTTTCCTTAAAAACATTTTCCTACCAGCATGTAGCCCTTTGATTTCCTCAGCCATATGGTCCAAATGGCAAGACAGGTTGCAACAATCTCCTATTTTCAGTTTTTCTCAAAACAAACAGTAAGGTTCTCAAAACTCAGTAAGTAAATTCTCATTAGTGTTCATCAAGCAAGCCTATGGCTGATGGTCACCACGTGCACCGAGAAAGTATCAACCTGCACTGGGCTTTCCCTGTTAGAACCTATCTTATAAAGTTTGCCCAGGCTTAAACTCATACTGTACCATCAAAGACCTCATAATTGAGTGTGTCATTTTTCATTTTCACAAACACAAAAAATGACTACTGTCCTTTACTATATTTACTTATATGTGATTGTTGGGTTTCACTAGATAGAGTGGAAGCACTTGAAAGTTTGTATTCCCTGAGATACTGAAAATCTGACCTGGTGACAGACTAAAATATATTGTTGTTGTTGTTATTAAGTGCCTTCGAGTCATAGACTACTCATAGTTACCCTATTAACAAAAGACCTGAACACTCGTATAACTTTCATTGTTTCTCTAAGTTCATAGAGTTTCCAGAGGCAAGCTATTTCAGAAATGGTTGCCATTCCTGCTTCCAAACCTGTTCTAATCTGAGAGCTCCACCAAACACTGTCCACCATGGGTAACCATTATCACATTAGATACATCAGTGTCACAATGTTTAGCAGCACAGCAACCACAAGTTACCGCTGTACAGCAATGCACAGACCAGTGCTATGCCATTTAGGAGAATGTTTGACCAAAAACAATTAAAACCAGGCCTGAGGGCTGTAGATTAAAATCACCCACCTTTGGCTTGGTAGCATAAATTTTATCCACTAGGCCAACAGAGCTCTCTCTCTCTTATTCACAGCAATTCTGTGAACAACAAATCTAATCCCTGCCCTATCCTACACCATCCCACAATCCAAGACATGCTCAAGCCCATTGTTACAGTCACATATCCAAAATATATTAGTTTCAGTTTATTAACAGAGGAAAACTTACTGATTAGGAGAAATAGTACTACAAGGGAATAGAAATGATGGACTGGACCGGAAGGAATTCTGTTAAGTGTGTGGGAAGTTAAGTATTTTTTTTTTATACCTTTACACAAACAACATCCAAATATAGGTTAGGTTCAAAAATTATACAAGTTGATGGCAGAAAACTAATGTCACACAGTGCTTATTCTAAAAGGAAAACTGTTACATACTTGATTATACCTAATCAAGTTCTGTAAGCATGGCTAATAACCAGAAGGGTCAGTAAACCCAAGTGTTAATAATTAAAACAAGAAACTAGAAAAACAAATCTAATCAGAACTCAAGCTAACTTAGCATAACTTCAGCCGTTTGGGGGCAGTATGAACCATCAGAGAGGTACCACCTTTAGGCCAGCAGCATTATTCTCTCTTGACTGCATCACTAGAGCTCCCTCATTCATACACAAGACATTTCTGAATACTTTATGAATGTGATAAACAAGATTTTGTAAGCACGCAAACCCGTTAAATTATTGGTTTTCAGGCCCTGGGCCCTCTCCTAGGAGTTCTACATTATTAGGTTAAGAGAAGGACCCAGACAGAAGTCCACATTCCCAAAGCCCTGGCGACTGACAGCTCATGCTCAAACTCTCCCTTTCCTTCCAGGGGGCGCTTTGGCCAAGTTCACAAGTGTGAAGAGAAAGTCACAGGTCTGAAACTGGCAGCTAAAATTATTAAGACCAAAGGTTCTAAGGACAAGGTGAGGATGGAGATAATGGGGTTTTCCCTTTCTGTCTAGTGTCTATATTCTGAAAGCCCTTTCCTTCTCCTCAGGATGAAGTAAAGAATGAAATCAGCGTCATGAACCAGCTCGACCATGTGAACCTCATTCAACTCTATGATGCCTTTGAGTCTAAGAATGACATGGTCTTGGTCATGGAGTAGTAGGTGTCCCCTCTTTACCTCCCATCTCTGCCCCTCTTCTCTCACGTGCACACTACCAGCAGCCTCAGCTGTTCCACCTCAGAAGTACCTGGAGTTGTCTGGTGTATCATTTATTCTGATCTGTGAGAATGAAACAGTCTCTCTAACTCCAGAAAGGATATCATTGTTCATGAATATGAATTTACACTTGGAACTTTATTTACTAGAGGTAGCACTGAAAAGCAGATTTAGCATTGTATATAAGCTTTACAATCCACAATTTAAACTTAAATATTTTACTGGATGACATGAGGGAAATGATTTTTGAACCCTATTTCACCTTCAACCTAATCTAATGTAATGTTTGTTGTATCTTTATATCTGGATCACCATCTCTCATTGCCCACCGCACACACTGTGGTCGAGTCAAACTAACTCCTCACGCACCTTTGATTGAGTTTCAGAATCTATAAATTTCACAAGAGGAGATTACCATCTTTCTCCAGGTGGTGGTTTTGAACTGTGAGTAAGGTGCTGCCTTTGGGTTAGCAGCAAAACTATTCAGAAAGTTTTTGTTTTGTTTTTGTTTTTTAAAAATATATTTACACACACATACAAACTCACAGGGAGTTCTGGTGGCCTAATCCATAGAAAGTTGTGTTGCTGTTGAGTTGGGGCCGACTCATAGCTGACACTCCAGAGGGTTTCCAGAGGCAGTAAATTTCACAGGAGGAGACTGATCATTCTTCTGCAGAGCAGTCAGGGGACTCAAACCATGTGCCTTTATGGTTACAGCAAAATTTCTTACCAATAATCCACGAGAGCTCCTATGTGTGTGTATTTTATATATATAATATCTGGTTGCTCAGTTATTAGAAATGAGTATTCTGTGATTCAATCAATATAATGATTTAGTTCACATTTTCCATTTTGTATTTAGAATGATACAATAAGACATTTTAGATAATAAACTATCAGCATCAGCCTTTTATAAATTCATCATTGAATTAATCTGACAGTTCACGAGTTAGGGACTTTACTGTGTTTGCAATTTTCCTTCACTGTGCTGCTGCAGTTTTGAAATTGAAGGTCTAGAAGACCTGCTATGTCAGAAACCTTTAAGGAGGCAGTAAACAAAGTAGAGAGAGGAATGTGCACACATCTTCTGAAAGAGACCAGAAGAACAAGTAGTTAATGAAGACTCATATTAAGGGCTCCCCATCTCTCTCCTCTATAGTGTGAATGGAGGGGAGCTGTTTGACCGAATCATTGATGAGAACTACAATCTGACTGAGCTTGATACCATCCTGTTTATCAAGCAGATCTGTGAAGGGATTAAGTATATGCACCAAATGTATATCCTTCATCTGGACCTGAAGGTGAGTGTGTTCTGTTCCTTTCCTCTGTCAGTCCCTCTCCTCATGCTGGTCAGCAGGACATCAGGCATTAGGTACTAGTTGGGGCGTTGGTGCTGTCATTAGCTACTTACTCATGACTAGTAAAAATTTGGGTTCTTACCTACATCTCCCTACTCCCAACTTCTGTCATCCCTAACATTTCTGTTTCTAAAGGCCATTGTTACAGTTATTGTGTCAGTCCATTTTGTTGAAGGTCTTCCTTTCTCTTTCTGACCCTCCACCTTTCCCAGCAAGATAGGTGATAACACACCCAAAATATGTGAGACAGAGTTTCACCATCCTTGCCTCTACGGAGCATACTGGTTGCACTTTCTCTAAGACAGACTTGTTTGGTTTTTTGATTGTTCATGGTAGATTCCGTATTCTTTTCCGTATTCTACTCTACAATCCAAAACATTGATTTTTATTCTGTCATCCTTATTCACTGTCCAACTTTCAGGTGTACAGGAAGTAATTGAGAAGACCATAACAATTGAAACTCAATGGCACATAATCACAACAAGGATTACTATTCAGATTCTTATAATATACCTGGAGAATTTACATGGGGAGGGCTTCCCTAGAAGATTAAATTAGCAATGAAAACAGCAGCCCTGGGAGTACAATTAAGTGCTAGTCTGCTAACTGAAAATTAGGTGATTCAAACTTGTCTAGAAGCTTTACGGAAGATGTTGTTGTTGTTATGTACTGTTGAGTAAGAACCGACCTATAACTGATGACCTTCAGAAGGTCTTCAGCGGCTGCTAATTGCATGAAAGGGTAATTGTCCAACTTTCTTCTGTTGTGCAGCTGGTAGAGTTGAACTGTGTGTGTTTGAGTTTGCAGTGCAGCTTCTACCACTATACCACCAGATCTCCCTCTGTGGTCATTTGCCCATGCAAGGATTGCTGTTATTTTTGTTGTGCACCATTGAGTGAGAACAGACCCATAATTGACCTGTATGCCAGGCAGTAAATTTTCAGAGCCAGTATATTGCAAGGGAGGAAAGTGTCTATCTTTCCCCATGAAGCAGCTGGTAGATTTGAGCTGCCTGCCTTTGGGTTGGCAGCACAACTCCTTTCACTAAGCCACCAGAACCCCTGCAGAGATTATTGTTGTGCACCGCACTGTAGAGTCAGAACTAACCCACAGCTGACCCTCTGGTGGGTTTTCAGAGGCAGTTAATCACTTGGGAGGAGATTGCTTGTCTTTCTTCCACTGAGCAGCTGGTAGTCTCGAACTATATGCCTTTGGGATTGCAGCAGAGCTTCTTGCCACTAGGCCACCAGACCCCTTAGAAAACCCAATGAAGGACGTTTTCTTTGTCACATGGAGTCACCGTGAGTCAGAATTGGCTCAATGGTACCTAACAACAATAATCACAGCTACCCTGACAATCCAACTCACTCAGAATCTTTGTCACTGTCCTGAAGTCTGGGCTTTAGGAATTTATAAAGCACTGAGTTAAAACTGGTGGCAGAATGGAAATGAAGGCCGGCTAGAAGTGGGGTACTGGAATGCTCAAGAGCATAGAAGCTGTGGGATGGAGTTGGAACATCACATAGGGGGCAGTTCTGTGTCATTTATTGAGGACTTTATATCCACAATTTCAGTTACAGCTTTTGGATGAAAAGAATAAGCTGGGTGAGTCATCAAAGACTGGCCACTGTTTTCAGAAAGTTTCATTTAAAGGAAAACCAAAAACCCTGGAGTTGATTCTAATTCTTCGTAACGCTGCGTGTCAAAGTAGAACATTACTTCCTGAGGTTTTCAATGACTGATTTTTCAGAAATAGACTTGCAGGCTTATCATTTGAGGAGTGCCTACATGGATTTAAAATGATAACCTTTCAGTCACAGCCAATGTGCACTAACAATCTGTACCTGAGGATCTTCTTGGAAGGAAAAGGGCCAAACATAATCCTGGAAGCTCATTGAGTCAGAAATAATTCATAGCTCATCCTACATTGGGTTTCTGAGGTTTTAATCGCACAGGAGGAGATTTCTTCCCTGGATCCCCTGGTGGATTTGAACAACCAGAGAGCCTCAATCTTTGAGTTAGCAGTGACACTACCTACCAAACATCACCAGAACCCCCAACTAAATAGTGCTTGTGATTTAAAGTGTTCTCTTCTTAGGTTGTCTGTGCTTTGCAAGTGTTATTCAATGAAAATAACTTCATTTCAAGAATTAGAAACAAATAACTTTTTCTATCTCAAAGCTGCTTCTTCAGAGTTTGAAAATGTTTTCTAAATTCCACAATATTCTTTGATAATTGGACAATTAATATATGATTGACTCATTATTTAAATTTGAGACCAAATTTCCTACAGCACACCCACTTTTCTATAAATAGCTTGTTTTTCTATATTTTTTTAAAAAAACAGACAAATATAATAATGCCTGCTTAATAAGCCCATCTTTGGGAAAAAGATATCGTGCTGGGAAAAGTGGAGGGTCAGCGATAGAGAGGAAGACCTTCAGCAAGGTGGATTGACAGAATGACTGTAACAATAAACTGCACTCTATAAGAAATTTGAATTCAGATCTGTTGTTCATAGAATCATGATGACTTATAGTCAATTGAATGACACCTAACAACAACAGTTATACGCTGTTGATTTGCATTACTCAGCTTAAAACATTGAGTAAGTAAATATTGAACATTTGTTCCCAGAAGAAAAATACAGAGTTAGCTTCCTGTGAGCCTATGGTCACAGCACTTTTGTCAGCTAGTATACATCCACTGTTCTTATGGGGTCAGTATGACATACACAGTATGGTTACCATCAACATTTCACCTCAAGACTGCCAAATAGCAGGGTAAAGTTGTAGTGGAGACAAATGCTAAGGGAACACTTGGTCAAAGATTTTAGGCTTTGAGACCAAGCTCAGCAGAACTTAGGAACTTCCCAGAATCTTTATTCTTCAATGAGGACAGGAAGACTTCCTGTGTCATAATACTCTATCAACAAAGGACAAAGAGAAAACCTAGCCAGCATTCCAATTATACTGCATATTCAAAGTGACTATTTACCTGAATCAAACTTACAAATCTCAGAGAAAATACTTCTCCACAAAGAGAAAATGAATACTTAATAATTCTAGGAGACAGATTTTGAGTTGTCAGCTTAGACACCAGGAGAGAACTGAGCGACTTCCTTTCCTTCTTCCTTCATATGTGATAGTGACTGTATGATTGTGGCAGAGACACGCAAGGTGGTGCAAGCCCAGGAGAGGCCCCACAACTTTACTCACCACATAGTGGAGGGACAAAATACCCACAAAGACAAACCAACTACGAGGTCAAGGGACTGATGTATTTTTTTGAGCATCATTCTATTTTTACTTGTGGTTCAAGGACAATTTGAGTGAACTCTGGTTGTTTTCATTGCTAATGTGTCTTTTTCTCCTGCAGCCTGAGAATATCCTGTGTGTGAACCAAGATACTAAGCAAATAAAAATTATTGATTTTGGATTGGCCAGAAGGTATGTCTATGTGAACACTGGGATATGAATGGAGTAAAGGCATGCTTTGTTTCCCAAGATGGATCTTACACATCACTTGGTTCTTTACCCTCATTTAGAAGTAATTAGCAAAAAGTATGTCTGTCTTACATTGTGAAATTTGGGATTTGAATCTTTAAAACATTCTACAGTATATGGAAAAAGGAAATAGGAAAATTAAACCTAATAAGGTAAAGTGTACTAAACTTGCTGTTGTTATGTGCCTTCAAGTCACTTTCCACTCATAGTGACTCTGTAAAATAGCCCTAAAACCTGCTGTATCCAGTGCCAATCTTATTGTCTTTGACACACCTACCTCCAGTACCCTAGTCCCTGAATCCATTCATCTCATTGAGGGTCTTCCTTTCCTGCACTGTCCCTCCAACCTCCAAGCATGATGTCCTTCTCCAAGGACAGATCTTCCCTTGCAGTATGCCCAGACAAAGATTCAGATTCCTTGGCTCCAAGGAGCAACCTGCAGCCATTACGTTAGAATTAATAAGATTTTGTCTTAGTCTTTTTTTATGTTTATGTTTCTATGCAGATTTTTCTCCACACTTTCCTTCATTGACATTATGTTTCATATAAGCATTTCTATATATTGTATTTTATAAAATTAATCATCATTGGACTATGCCCACTATTACCCCATCTTTTCAGGTCCCTGCTGGATCTTTCCCATTTCCTTTATTCCCTCCCTCCACCCACCATATCGTTTGACCCTGTGATTTCTTTCTCCCATTCATCCTCACTTCTCTGCTTCCACTCTTTAGTCTTTTACATTTTTTTCCCATCTATACAGGGATTTCTTTTTAAAATCATTAATAATGTAAACTAGAATATAACAATTCCAACACATATGAACCTTTTAAAGGAACAAAATTTTTGTGGAATTCAGCCAATTAATGAGGCATCTGAAAGAAATGCAAGTTACTGTAGTGTTTGTGTATTCCTTAGTAGACTTATCTCAGTGCCAGTGCCTACCTCGGCTTCCCTTTGAATCTTTTTTTTTTTGTAATTCACATGTTCTAATTATTCTGATTGGCCTTTCTCACAAAAATTTCAGATCATTATGGTTTTAATGTATCAATTATAGCTCTTTAAATCTCTGAAACTTAAGTTTTTCACTTTGCTCTTTAAAATAAGTAATTTCCTTAAAGGTCTATTTATATCACTGTATGATTAAATTGTCTTATAGAATACATCTTTTTTAATTTTCAACTTTTTAAAAACTTCTCCATCCTTTCTCTTAAATTTTAGGTATAAACCCAGAGAGAAGCTGAGAGTGAACTTTGGCACACCGGAATTCCTGGCTCCTGAGGTTGTGAACTATGACTTTGTCTCCTTTCCTACTGATATGTGGAGTGTAGGAGTCATCACCTATATGCTGTAAGAGCTCTATCTCCACCTGACTGTAGTGCTCAAATCCAAATGTCCTGTGAGAGTTGGCCATTACATTAAAATCTCTAACTATAGTCTTTTAAGAACTATACCCATGCCTATCAACATAGTGAGGTTCCAAAGACCAGATTGTTATTGGGAAATTGGCATTGATCACATTAGAGAATGACATCATTATAGCACATCACAAAAAATAAGGATCATAATATCATTGCATAACTACCAAATGACTGAGAACCATGGCACAGCCCAAAATCATACATGTCCTTACATTACATGTTGCTCTCACTTTGTAACTTGGTGCTTGTTGCTGTCAGATATTGGTTGTCACTGTGGAAAATAGATAGATAGATTCTTCATTATTGTACAAAATGAAAATTTTTTTAAATATGAGAGCATTGATAAGTGAGGAATAAGTGTAAATAGCACTGTGGAAACAGCCAACTGTCCAACCACAGATTAGTGCACAAGCAAAATGTTGTAGCTCACACAACATTATCAACCATGCAAAGATATGAAGCCCTGAGCAGACCCTTTACCATCAAGTAGATTGTGACTCATAGTGACTTACAATACTGAATAGAATATCTAATTTAAGTTTATCCCCATACGTTTTCCAAGAATGAAATCTTTATAAAAGCAGACGACTACATCTTTTTTTCCTGTGGAGCAACTGGTGTATTCACACTGCCAACCTTTCAGTTAGCAGCTTGGCACTTTAACTACCTCCCTAAAGCTGTAACATGAATGAATTTTGAAAATCTTATGCTTAGAGGAAGAAATCAGACACAAATAAAGACTGTATGATCTAACTTGTATGAAATATCAAGAATAGGTAAATGCATAGAAGCCAAACGTGAGGAGGGGGAATAGAGTTGCAGCCTTAGGGGGCAAAGCTTCTATTTTCCAGTGGCTGTTGAGTAGACCTTGACTTATGGCAGCCCACACATGTCGGAGTACAACTCCACAGAGTTTTCAATAACTAAGACCTTTTGGGAGGAGATCCCAAGAGCTTTTTCCTCAAAATACTTGTGGTTGGAATTTTTAGCCATTTGTTTAGCAGCAAAGTACTTTAACCATTTGTGCCACCCAAGGAAGGATGTGAAGTTTCTTTTTTCCTCCCAGACTAAGATGGCCCTTGAGGGTTTCCAGGACTGTAATGTTCCTGAAAGCACACTGCTACATCTTTCTCTCACATAGCTAATAGGCTCAAACTTCTGATCTTTTAGATAATAACAATGTACTTTAACAACTGAGGCTCCTTTTGTTTCTTTTTGAGGAAAGAAAAATATTTGGAAATAGATAGTGATCATGACAGCACAACATGGTGAATGTAGTTAATGCCACACAATTACACTCTCAAATGTAGATAAAGGGCCCAATAGCTTTTGTATTTATTTAATACTACCACTACTACTACTACTACTACTACTACTACTACTACTGCTACTGCTACTACTAGCTTGGAAGCAGGAGTGGCATCCACTTCCATAATAGCTGGCCTCTGGAAACCCTATGAACCTGGAGAGAGGATGAAAGTTATACCGGTGTCCAGGTCTTTTGTTCATAGGGTCACTATGAATCGCCTCTGACTCGATGGCACTTAACAACAACAACAACAACAACAACAGTAACAACAACAGCATAGAGAGAGATCAGTTGGCCTAGTGGACAGAACGTCATGATCCCAAGCCAAAGGTGGGTGACTCTACTCCGTGGCCCTCAGGCCTGCCTTTACTTGTTTTTCGTGAAACATTCTTCTAGGTCGTGTAACCCTGGTGTGTCCACTTGCTGTACAGAGTACAGAGGAAACTTGTGGTTGCTGTGAAGCTGGACACTGTAACCCTGATGTGTCAAATGCGAAAATGGTTACCCACGGTGGACAGTATTTGGTGGAGCTCCCTGATTAAAACAAGCTTGGAAACAGGAGTGGCATCCACTTCCATAATAGCTTGCCTCTGGAAACCCTATGAACGTGGAGAAAGGAAGAAAGTTATACCGGTGTCCAGGTCTTTAGTTCAAAGTTTAGTTCAGAGTTGCCTCTGACTTGACAGCACTTAACAACAACAACAACAATAATTTTAAAATGGCTAGGTTCTGCTTCCTCATAAGTACAGAAAAATGAATTATGTCTTATAGACTGATCACTTTAAATTCTAGGGTAACATTTAGCACTCTTTGAAGAAGAGCTTCCTCCTAATTCCCTAAGGGAATTCTGCCCCCCTTCCCACCTCCTCGTGAAGGGGCACTCCTCGGTTTGCCATCTGTGTGTGTCAGTGTTTTCCTTGTGGGAGACAATGGCATTCCTTCTTCAGAATAAGCTTCTCCTTTGATGACTGTTCACTCCTGAGCTGGTTTGTCTCAGGGCTAGGGTGGGGAATAAGCAATTTCTTAGTTGTGATAATATGTTATAAAAGTGTGTGGACTTATTTGGAGGCTTTCCTTCTTTCACTTGTCAGCTCTAGAATCAGAAAAGCAGCTTAGCTTCTTCGCATGGTTGGAAATTTTCTAAATGCACATCTTCTGTCTTCTAGACTCAGTGGTCTGTCCCCTTTCCTGGGTGATAATGATGCTGAGACACTGAACAACATCCTGGCCTGTAGGTGGGACCTAGAGGATGAAGAATTTCAGGATATCTCAGAGGAAGCCCGGGAGTTCATTTCCAAGCTCTTGATAAAGGAAAAGAGGTAAGACAGGTTCCGTCTCTGCCTGGGAATGTCAAAGTAATTCAGCAGCATCAACAACCAATTGTGGTTAGAGGCAACTGAAGAAGACCGTATTGTTTGTGATGTTCAAAGTAGAGTTGCAAGTAGAACCAATGTGACACTTCTCACCCTAATTCCTGGTCTCCTGAGGTCAGAACTTTGGTTATTGAGTTTGTATGTTGTTGTTATGTGCCGTTGAGTCACTTGCAACTCATAGTGACCCT